GATCATTTACAGCCTTTCCCCCTCTTTTTTCCCTTTCTTTTTTTTTCCTCCTCCAGGTTAATTGCACCCAATCCCTGTAAGGGTTGGGTATTAACAGATTGCACCAGGAAGCTTCAAGAAAAGCATGTTGTCTCCAGTTATTTAACAGTTAAAACATATGGGAATAATCTATGCAATTTGTATTATTTTCACTTCTTATCTTGAACAACCTCATTTTGGTAAGATTCAATAAACCCTAAACTCCGGACCACGCCACTATTCTCCAAGTTGCAACTTTCAGTTCAAGCAAACTCGATGACACCTAACGGCAACTGGTCTGTGGCCAATCCCAAATGGATTCACACCTGGAACTCTAGCAAAACCTTCAATATTCCTCCCTCTGATCCAGAACTTCAGACCAGAATGGGGTTTGTTTTGTAATAAACGAGTTTATTCTGAAACTGGTTCCATCTCTTGATCTAGCAGAAGGAACCAACAGCATCCTCCCAGGAACAGCATGAGAAAAGTCAATCGCTTCCATAGCAACCAATGTGCCAAATTATGGCTCTTCTGCAATTAGGACTGATCACAATGATTTCCCATTCCCTTCAGGTCAGTGGGCTTGACAGTGCTGGGACAACCACAAGATTCAACAGTAAAAGCATTTGTCAGATCACAGTTGGTTTATTTCCTCTGCTTCCTCCCAGTTCATCACTGCTCAATATGACAAAGGTTGGACCAGAATCCTGCTGGCTAAATTTGTTTGGGGTTTTGTAGGATTTTTTTGGCTCAGTGCCTGTATTTTCACAATGAAAAATCAGAGAGGAGTGCTGGTTCCTGCATTCCCTCTTAAAGGGCTTTTTCTAAGACCTGAGAAGCATTTTGTTATGTTTAGGAGAAACACGTGGATAGTGTAAAATGAAAAATACACATTTTACATGATAAAAAGAGAAGCAGCAGCAAGCAGATGTCAAGCTCAATGATTCTTTAGCCAAAGGAAGAGAAAAAGGAGATGAACACAAGTGCCGCTGCCATGGTAAATCACTCCTCTCCCTGTCTGTGGCGGGAGCACTGCAGTGATTCCTAACTCAATCACGGATGAAAACAGATGCCTGCCAGCCTAATGTGCAACAAGCAAACCAGACACTCAAGATCTGTGTCCCAAAATTTCTGAAGAAGGAGTTAATCAAATTAAAAGATAATGTCATAACTTAGCTTTTGAAACACCACGGCAAGGTAATAAATTACATAAAATGCAACTGCAAACATTAATCTGAGACAAAAGGCTATTACCTGAAAGCACCATCCATCTCAGATTTTCTGAGCACTTAGAAGTCAAAACCTGTTTTAGCTACCATGGGAAACAAAAAGCAGCTCAAAGAAAGATGCCCTTGTGAACACAACTAAGAACCAAGAAGCCAGGACAGTGCTTACCACACAAGTAGGGCCTCTTGGCAGGAGTGAGGTGTGATAAACTGGAGGAAAACCCCTACATATTAAACTGAGTCACTAGAATCACAGCAGAAAAGGTTTGACAGTTGAACAACAGAGGTTTGAAGGTCAATTCCTGCTAGTCTTCGTTATCCTCCTTGAAGAGCAATGATGGATGGGAGGGCATCATCCCCCACCTCCCTGCCTTCAGAGGGCTGACAAGAGGGAAAACACAAATGCCTCTGTTGAACAGCATCTGCAGGACTGGAGCAGAGACAAGGAGGGAAGAGGGAACAGAAACCTTCCAAGACTCTCCTTATAAAGTCTCTGCTAAGTCACAGAGTCACAGAGTGGTCTGGGTTGGAGGAGACCTTTTAGCTCACCCTGTCCAACCTGGCCTTGAACATTTCCAGGGATGGGAGACCTGTGCCAGGGCCTCATTACCCACACAGGGAAGAGACAAGGAAGAACTCCTCCACCAGGGACACTGAAATCTGAACAACTACAACTACAAAAACTTCTACAGAAACATAATTTGACTCAATGATCCTTGTGGGTCCCTTTCAACTCAGCTTATTCTGTAATTCTGTGATAATTCTGGTAGAAAGGAGTTTTTCAAAGTCATGGAACACCTTATTTTTGCCATCATCTTAGTTACAACAACTATAAAATATGGGCCAATTTCTAAATTCATTTAAGAAGATTTAATAATTTTAAAGTTATCTATGTTCTTTTCTCTATAAAAGGAATGTAATAAAAAAAGAAATTATACCAAGCTTCAAAGTTTACTATTTGTGCTTGGTATCAGAACTGCCCTCCACAACACCACTCGGTATTGTGATCTTCTTTGTCCTTCCTTGGCATTGGAAAGTTGGGAGCACGTAACTCCCCCACACTGACTCACACTGAAGATGTCACAAGCAAATCTTACCCCCAGCAGCATGAGGGGCTGAGCGGTGGCACTGCAGTTGCTCAGGAAACCACCTCCCTGGAATGTGCTGAAATTTGCCTGAAGACTTAAAATAAACATTTTGATACTGAGCAAAGTTCACCTCTCAGCATCTCAAATTGAAATCGGTATTCCTATATATGCAGAGTAGCTAATGTTCTCTTTTCTTTGCTATTTAGTGTTTTAAACTGCTTTCAAGTGTATAATTAATTACATTTTTTTGTCAGGGATCAAATTAAAAACCACTCCACCTCCCCTCCACTGCATGGCAGATCATCACCTTAATTTTTTCCTTCTTTCAACTCATACCGTTATTCTTGGAAATGCTCGGAATTTAGCACTGTGTGCTGTATCTTCACAGGATGCACACATTTTAGAAGAGAGTTAATGTAAGCCTAGCACAGAAGAAAGAAGTTGTATTTCCTTGGAAAACTGATTCCAAGCAGTGCCTGAAGCTTTGCCAAGATCCAGAGTAGGACTCTTCCTCCACCTTCCCATCAGGAGCTGGATGCTATGTCCCCTTTGGTTCCTGTGAGTTGATCACAACTTAGCTCTTTCTTTCTCTACCTCTTTACACAAGGATACTCCCCCAGCCACCTACTTCTTCCAAGGTGGTATATCTTGAGCTTGGAATCCAGCCTTCCAGACCAGCAAAGCCTCCATCCCCCACATTACTGCCACTTTCACAGAAGAATCCATAAATTTGGGCAGTTTCTTCCATGAACAACTTCAGAAATCCTTTGTCAATGGATTCTATCCTCCCCTCTTCCCCTGCCTGTCCCAACTGCCCATATAAATCTGGCCACAGTCCCTGGACACGGGCACACATGAAGAGAGCAGCTCCCTAACAGGTCCTTGGGATCACATTTAAGGAAACTGAAACAAACTGGATTCCCAACCTGCAGTTTCTGCCTTGACTCCAAGTCCATGCTCTTCCCTGGCATGTACTGTTCCGCTCTTATCTCATTTCTCTTTTCCAAGTACACCAAGATAGCCCATGGGGACATAGTCTCATGTTGGCCTTGGGAGAGCTAGGTTTACAGTTGGACTCGATACTCTGAAGGGCTTTTCCAACCTTATTGGTTCCACTGTGACAACTCTGCCATTGTCACTTTTTTCCATCCTTAATGACGCTTCATGTTCCTTTAAGAACACTTCAAGGCAGTACAAAACACCACTTTTCCTTTCAGATCACTAAACTATCAGCAAGAGAAAAAGATCAAATAGCAGAAAAAAAAAAAGAAATTGCAGATCCCATTCTCAGAGCCCATCCCTGGGCTTGGCAGGAGTCCTGCCCTCCAAAGCTCTGTAAGAGGGGAGGCACATGTCTGGGTGTGGGAATGTGGAATTTATTTTTTTTAATCTTACAATCCAATGATAATTCTCTGTGGATGCAATCATAAGAAGTTTATAATTATTAACAATTATAAACATGACAGCTGAAGCCATTCTGTTAGAAAAAAAGGCTGCAGCAGCACAATTTTAATTGTAATTCATGATGATTGAAAAAGGAGCAGCACTTTTCAAGGCAACTGTGGTCTCAAATTAGGTATTGCCAAGCACAGGAACTGTTGATTTTTCTGAGACAACTTCTCTTTCAGACAATACATTCAAGAAAACCCACATTCAAAATCTGGACAACATTCAATTAATTCCTCCAGTTTTGAGTACTCTGTAAGTTCTTCTTCAAGTTCATCAGCCACAGGAATAAACAACACCCTGATTTCACAGACATTTATTAATATGACCTTGGTGACTGTAGCTACAGATTTCAGAGGCAGATGTCACATATTTGCACATCATTTCAACATATTAAACATTCTTTTTTCCATCCAAAGACTACTGTGAGTATGGATCCCTTTGGTTCATTATCAAGGAAAGCCAGAGGAACAATCTGCATAACTCAGCACAGAATCCACTAAAACACTTACTGCTGTTTTCACCCTTCTCCCAGCACCTCCACAGTCTCTAGCCTTCCCCAGCCTGCCACTTCCAAGTGAGGAAAAATCTGGGAAACGATACTGAGCTGCAGATTCCAGGCACTCACATGTGCTGGGTTTGCCAGGGCTTGGAGGATTTAGGTAAAGCCTGCCTGAGCTGACAGACATGAACAGGGTTGAGCCAGGAAGGGACATGACCCACTTTATTTATTTTTCAACCAGAGGCCTCAAGCAACATGTATGCATTTCAGAGCAACTGCTACAGGATACAGAAATTAGAAGGTATTTCTTAACAAAATAAAAGTAAATACACCAATATTCTTGGATGCAGGTAACAAGGCCCCACAGTTTCGCTTTAAGCTGATTTAATGGTGTTTCTGAGACGTGGTTTTATTCCAGCAGACTAGCATTAAAAATTATATTTAAAGCAGGAATGTTTACTGGTTAATTTTTATCTTCTCAAAAGCAACTCTCTAGGCCTCCTATATTATTCTGAGGAGAGAGCAGCCACATGCAAAATTGCAAGAACCAAACATAAATGGGCAACTAGCAGAAATTAATGCTTATTCAAATTTCCAAGACAGTGAAACTTGGTTAGGGAAGGTCCAACCAACCATCTAGCCAAAGGAGCCATATTCTACATTTAAAAATTCTCTCTGCCTGTTGCCCCTGTTCACACAGAGCCTTTGCATGCAGCTTACCAGGGCAGAATGCATCAACATCCAGCTTCTGGGCAGAGAGGGTTGGGGAGCCAAGCTCGGACTCTGGGATTCGAGGGCTCTCAACAAACTTTGCTTTCCTCAGAGGGGCTAAAGGAGAAGGAGGGGGAGAGAAAAAGAGAGGTCATGAGTAAGGGAAATAGCAAGCAACAGATGGAAGCACTTAACTAAACGACACTGTCAGACTCATATCAGGTTACCTTTTTTTTTTTTCCCCAGGAAAAAAAATTATCTACATTTTTTACAAAGGAGATGGCTCTTGGTTAAACTTTCAAACCGCACAGGCTGACTTCAAAGTGTGTGAACACTGAGGCACATTCCTGATACTCTAAAACATTTTCTTTTCTTCTACTTTATCAAAGTTTTTATAGCAAGCAAATAAGCCTGGATCCAGCAACTGTGGAAACCCAAAGATCATGGAGAGGTACACAGAGCCCATCAGGTTTTAAGATATTTAACTGCAAATATCTGAACTGAACACATAAATGCTATGTTCAGTAATTGTTTTCTTGAACATAAAATTTCAATTTCAGGACAGTCTCATTTTTGGACCAAACAGATTTGGTGTTCAACACAAAAAAGCAGAGCAAAGCTAACACTGTGCAAGCCAAAAAGAAGCACTCCACTTTTATCCCTGCAAATCCATAAAAGATCAAGAGACTTAACAGAGGATGGGGAAAAGGTAATAGTGTCTGTAACAAAGCATCACTGACCACTAGTGCTAGAAAAATGGGATTTTCTCCATGTTTTAAAAGTCTGAATTCTAAAAGACAAGAAATTCTGTACAACATTTCTTTTTTGGAGTAAAATTAATAAAAGTGGTTTAGTAGAAGTCTTTAAATATATTCCAGACCAGAGAAAGAGAACTAGAGAATAAGTTACATGCAGAGAATGTCATATTGTAATTCCAAGTTAAACTCGCATGCTCATTACAATGAAAGGCTAATTTGAAAAGCCCCTCAGCACTGATTCTGGGGGTCAGTGGCTTCTGCCCCTCCATTTACATAATTTATCTTTATTGTTCCCTGTCTTGCAAATTAAATTTGGGATCTGCAGCTAAAGATTGGGAGGCTGTTCTTTTCCATCTCCTGTAATAAAAGCTCAACAGGTCAGAGAATGATATCTGAGGCAGCAATAAATCTCTTGGTTTTAGGGAGCTGCTGTGGTGCTAGGAAAGGCTGAGAAGGTCCAAGGATGGGGACCCTGACAACCAGATCACTCCAACTGAGCTACACATTAGTGATCCCAAATTTTTTTTTTAATGGAGTGTGCAAAACAGAGATGCAGATTGAGGTACGATTTTTTAATAGAAGGTCCCTGTGAAGCAGAAGAAAGGCAAGGAATCAACCCGCCCATCTCTGCACCAGAACAGGTGTGCTAAAAGCCCTCCTCTCTACCCCCTCATAATCCATCTCAGGAGATGTGCTGAGGGAAAACAGGTACCACACTTCCATTTTGCACGCAAAAATCCTGGATGACTATGAGACACATTGCCAGCACATTCCTTGCAAGCCCATCAGGGCTGGTGTAACAGGAGCCCTGCAGGGCAGGAGGAATGTGAGAAACTCAGAAAGATAAGGACAGCTTGGAGCCCCTTCTCCCCGCCATTCCACGTGGTCATGGATGTGCAGCACCACCCAAACACACAATCTGATGCTAAACACTACAAGCCAGCAGTCAATTCTATATAATCCCCCCTGGAAAAAGTCCCACATGTGCACACACAAACACCCCACAGCCACACACTGGCCAACACCCGAGAAAAATCATTCCCAGTAACAATCTTGTGCCAGATCCTGATGTAATGAAAAAATTTTAATATTGAAAAGATTATTGCTATAGCCCAAAAATTGTTTAAAATAATAATTCCTCACAGGTCAATAATTTAATGTTTAGTTTGTTATTGCAGTTTTAATAAATAAGTTTTACTACAGTCTCAGTAACAGCCATTTCTATAATATATATTAAAAATTGCTTGTCTTTTCTTTATCATTTCTGGCTGACACCAGAACCATATATCATCCCACACACATGTGGCAGTGCTCACTGTGTTCTAAAACACAATACTCACAGAATTTTCACAGTTCAAGAAATGTTAATGACTGATGGGATAGTCACTAGATGGTAATGCACTGAAAAGTATTTTTAAAAAGAGGAAGGAGAATTTTAATAAGCATAGAGAGGACAATGTGATCACCACACCACTTGCTGTGTGGACACACAGGTCTGTGGAAGATGCAGGACCTGCATGTTTTGACAGATCAGCACTGAACAGTTCACCTATAAGGAAGGAACTGATCTCCCATTCCATTGGGTTTTATTTCTACATTTACTCTGGATCTCTTTTACTCCTCACTGAGGTGCCTATTGCCCCACTAATTCCTGCCTTCTCCTCAGGACTGACTGATGACAGCAGACATGATCAGCTCATGGATCCAACAAGCTGATCCACCATTTTTTTCTCTTTGAGGGCAATAAAGAATATCCTATCACCAATGTGGTGAAATCTCCATATACTGCAAGTTCAACCACATACATAATTTTAATGCATTTCATAGCATCACAAAATCACAGACTGCGTTGTGTTGGAAGGGAATTAAAAGCTCATTCAGTCCCACTCCCTGGAACTGGGCAGGGGATACCTTCCACTACAGCAGGTAGCTCAGAGCACTGTCCAGCCTGGCCTGGCATCTATTTTATTATGTTTTTGTTCCCTCAAAAGCATGACTTGAGCCTTAAAAACACACTTCCAACAGCCAAGACACACCATGTCACCATGACTCACAGACAACAGTTTACTTTAAAAGGCTTAAGTCAATACAATCCTCTCCATGTAAATACAGGTGGGGAAAAATCACAGAAGGAAGAGTTTCTGTTATTACAAATACCCTAAGAGTGGGAAAGACAAAAACTCTTCCTAACTCACCCATAAATTGATTACAGGAAAGGAGGATTTTCATGTACAAGAATTAAGCACCTCTGACTCATGTTCAAATGAATATTATCCTGACAGATTCAGATTTGGGCATTAGTTTTCTACTGGAAAAATGGAAATATTATAAAATCTAAAATCTGGCTTGACACTCTACAGCCAAATGTTAATGGAGAACACTCATCTTTTTATAAAAGTGGCTTTTCAAGGCACAACGGTTTGCCTTGGTCCTGAACCCCTTCCTGAGAGCAAAGGCAAATCTTATAATCACAGTCATGGGATGAGCTTCTGGCACAAATTATAAAAACTAACAAAAGCATGAAACCATTATTTGAAGTATTCTGTACCTGCTCAGTCCTTTAGGACTCTTATCCTATAAGGATTTTCTGTATGAAACGAACCAACTCCAGGCGTTAAACAGCAGGAAAATAGCCCTTCATGTTACACAACTGGAGTTTTTATGAGCAGAAAAAAAATTTCTCTTCCAAGAACACCAGGAAAAAGGATGTCTGCAATAACCAGTTATAAAAACATAATGGATTGAGTAAAGATGGCAGTCACTGGCAACACTGGCTTTCTAGAACTGCAAAACTTGCATTTAATTCAAAAAAAGCATATTGGTTACGTGGCGCCTAAAGGCACACCCTTGTTCCTGGGGTCCCACGCCCGCCACCCTGTGACAGCCCAGGAGCCCATGGCTGCAGCCCGTGATCCATGTCCATCTCACAGGCCAGTCCTCTTTGCATCACATAGGAACTGACTTGCCACTACTGAAGAAGGAACTTCAATTTCAGTGGCTGAGACGTTCTTTCAAACCAATACTGCACATTTTTGGGGCCAGTTCTGCAGTTCTTAGTGAGATTAATCCCCACTAGTGACCAAGCCAGCAGAGCAAAACTGAAAATCCTTCTGTCGATGCAAATAAAATTCTCATTTGACTCTGACAGCAACTTGTCCTGGGCGAGGAAAATGATGCTTATTCTGGGTAGGAATTAACCATGCAATGCAAAACAGCAGTGCCAGCAATCAGAAAATTTAATTAGCTGGCTTGTTTATGACACTTTCTGCAACAGGTTGTCTATCTTCCAGCGGGGACAAAGTATGCCCCTTGTGGGATTTGGGAGGCCCTGGCCCAGGGTGCCCAAAGCAGATGTGCCTGCCCCTGGATCCCTGCAAATGTCCCAGGCCACGTTGGACGGGACTTGGAGCAGCCTGGGACAGTGGGAAGTGTCTCTGCCTTGGCAGGAGATGGGACCAGATAGGCTTTAAGGTCCCTTCCTACCCAAACCAGTCCATCACAGAACCCCAAACCTAACACTAGGGAAAGTATTTTATTAGTAACTGCAATTGTCAGCAGCCTGACTTTTTAGACTCTCTTTAAAACAGGGATTCAGAACACAGGAAAAGTTCTGGCTTTGCCTGGCAAACTGAAACAATCTGCCCCATTCATAACATCCCTCAAACCTGCATGCCCATACTAGTTGCCACTGAGGCTCCCACTCTAGAGTCTGGATGAGCCTCTTTTGTAACATAAATTTGACATTTGAATCAAATCCTCAAAAGTGGTAAAGTTTACAAAATCCTGCCCATGCTGCGCTATGTTTGGGAAAAGCCAGAGTTATGATTTGCTCTTCAGAGCAAACTATGGAAGCTTAGACTTAAAGAGAGGAAAAGTGGGTGCTCAGTGCATCCTCCATTCCCATCTTTCACTCATGCCAGAGCCTGACTCATGTTTGGAAGCATCCCAGCAGCTCCACAGTGCTGTGCAGCTGACTTTATTGAAGTCTCCCTCAAACGAAAATGTTTTTAGTGCTGCAGAGTTATTGATCCATGGAGCTCCTGGAACAAATAACTGTCACATTCAGCACAGCTGCACAAAACCCAGCACATGGGTGATGAAGCTTTGCTCCTTCCTCTGGCCCAAAGCACCTTTTATTTGGCTGAGGTAAGAGCCATAAAGAGGAAATTACAGACCACATGATTATTTTTGCTGTGGCACTAATCCTGGAACCCTAGAACGGTTTTGGTTAGAAAAGACCTTAAAAAAATGATCCAGTCCCACTGCCTGTTATGGGCAGGGACATCTTCCACTAGACCAGCTTGCTCCAGGCTCCATCCAACCCAATGAACATTTCCAGGGATGGGGCAGCCACAGCTT